GGGGGGGGGGCTGTTTGATATATGTGTAAAACAATGTTGTCCAACAATAAACCGGAATTTTATTTTGCTGAGTTGTTCTAACAACAAAAAAAAGAGGATTGCTTGTGTTTGCTTGGTGTCTGACTTTCAGTGTATGTTTGAGTCTTTGGTGCACACGTGGAAGTACATGGTTTTCCAGGGCAAAGACTCTCTGAGAAATTCTAACGGTGAGGCTCATATTCGCTAGAAGACGCCTCTCCGGTACCTGTTCATCTCACCTGCACTAGCCCACCTTTAATAGGCTCCACTTTTTCTTCCCACCTTGGAGTCATTGCCAGCAGATGCTCATCAGCCTACAGATACACTGTGTCCCCTCCACTGCTGCCAAAATCTCATGTCTTCTGCATGAAGACTTTCCTGAAGACCCTTGCCTTTGTCACTTTCCTTATAAAGTGGTGTCTCTGTCCATTCTTGTCATATGGAGCGTAGGCTCTTGAAGGACAGACATCATCTGTCTGTTCACAAGTCTACCATCACCAACACCATGGGCTGTCAGTCTGTGCCATTCTCTCAGAGTAGGGGGAAGAATTAAGTCCTTTTCATTGTGTAGGTTATGCAAAGGAGTGTCAGGAAGGGACCCTCCTTTGTCTGCAAGCCCAGCCATGTTGAGGGATGGTCTTGTTACAGGGGTTGGGTGTTGTTGTTCTTGTCAAGTGTTGTTGTTGCTGTTAAGTGCCGTCCAGTCAGTTCCAATTCATAGCCACCCTGGACAGGGTGGAAATCCTGGAAAGGTAACAGCTGGTGGTTTTGAACTGCTGACATTATGGTTCACAGTAGAGTGCTGAGCCACAGCGCCACACCAGGAGTCTTGTTGTTAAGTTGTTGTTGTGAAGTGCCGTCAAGTCGGTTCCAACCCATAGCGACCGTGTATAGGGTTTCCGAGGAGCAGCTGTTGAGCTTGAACCGCCCAGAGTGTCTAAAGGGTCCTGTTCTCCCCACTCCAACTCTTGTTAAGATTTCCTCTCACAACCGCTCACTCTCTTTGCTACAAATTCACCATCATGTGTGAGTCCCACCTGGACAGCCAAGGTGTGAGGTTCAAGGGCAGGTGGAAGAATATACTTTACTAAGACTATGGCAACTCCAAGGGAATAAACTGGAATTTCCTAGGCGTGCCAGTGACGTCCATGACAGAGTGGGCAGCAAGAAGGAGATATGGTTTCACAGCTTGGTTACGCTGAAATCAGTGAAGAATTTATAAGAGCAAAAACTTTTTAAAATTTATTTTTCTAACATGTTAGAGATGAATGATCTAAAAATATAGTAATTTCTTATAATATTTGTTTTCTAATCATTTGATTTTCTATTATGACACCTTTTCATTTGTTCATTTATAATTCAGCATTTAGTAAACACAAGGATCAGAACTGAAGTGCGAGCAGTTTAAAGGAAAATGGACGAATGCCAGTTATTCGTTGTGGAAGATCAAGGAAGAGAATTGAACGTGATTGTTAAAGCCACTCAGTTCAGTGACTCATTGTCTTTCTTTTAGAACATGGAGGAGAGCCTTTTGGTAGAATATTCTTAGTAGCCCCATCCATTAAAATGTTTATAATCCAAATCATGTCCCTCCACATGGATGGCACACACCACTTTTGCATTCGATCATTATCTCTAAAGCTGCATTTGAAAAGAAGCATCATGGATCCTAACACACACATATAGATGCAGATGCTTATCTATGGGGAAGGGATGTTGGATAAGCAGTGGACTACACTGAACGATATGGTCATTGGTTCAGTCTCACCAGCCGCTTCTGCTCCCACAAATATTTGTTACTGTTGTTGGAATCCTGGTGTGGCACTGTGGGCTAATGCGCTGGACTGCAGAGTTCATTTCAACCACAAAGTTGGTGGTTCAAGCTCTCCAGCTGCTCCTAGGAAACCCGATACATGGTCACTATGGGTCGGAACTGACAGGACAGCACTTAACAACAACACTGAGTGACAAGGTCAGCGGCTCAATCACACCAGCTGCTGAGGTTTGTGCTCCACAAATACTTGTTTCTGTTGCTAAGTGCTGTCCAGTCGCTTTGACTCACAGAGATGCTGTTGTAGGGTTTCTGGGGAGCCGCTGCTGAGTTTGAAGTGCAGATCTTTTGGTTAGCAGTCCAGTGCTTATCCTACAGTGCCACACCAGGGCTCAACAAACACATACTGGGCTTCTGTGAGTGGAATACACGCAGTGACAGTGACTTTAGTCTGGGTGTGTATATAGGGGAGGCTGGTAGGACAAGCCCATATGTCTGCCCTGGGCACCATTGGAGGTGGGCCTTCGATGTTGTTGAGTGCCACCGAATAATGACCACCACATAGCGACCCTGTATAGGGTTTTTGAAGAGTGACTGGTGACTTTGAACTGCTGACCTTGCAATTCAAAGCAACTTTGAGATTGAGTATTTATCCTATGGCGCCTTCTGGTAGGATCAGACTGGACTGTGAACTACAAGCTCAGCGGTTCAAACCCACCAGCGGAACAAGAGCAAATCTTATCCAGGGTTGCTGTGAGTCGTAACTGACTCAATGGTGCTTTGCACTAGTAACATTGGCCTTCAGTTTCCATTGCCAGCTGAGCAGGTCATTCAGCAATCTGAGCACTAAGTGACCTAGAGGCTACTTTTCTAAGGTATGTTCCTATATCTAAACCTCACAAAGCCTTGCAAACATGTGATATGTGTGAACCCAGCAGGAGACCAGAGATTATCCTGTAAATAACCCAGGGTCCTCCCACTACTCCCAAGCAGCCCCATCTCAGGATGAATAAATCCCAGTTAAGAAAAGGAGGGGCAGAGTTTACTTTTTCCAATGGAGAGCACAGCAGGACCACAGGACCAGGGCTTGTAGGAGTGGCCTGTTTCCTACATCTGAACATTCAACTTCCTCTGGCTAGCACCTAGGTGTGCTAGAGCCAGGACAGGGAGGTGTCACCTCACTGGGGCCAGGACATCCCAAAGAAGGGAAGGCTGGGTGGAGCCAGGAGTGCCCAGAAGTGACACACTAGCCTTCAGGAAGGACTGGGGGCTCCCTCACAGAAGTTGCCACTGGGGTTCCCTGCGGCCTTGCAGACCCCATAGCTCTGACTCTGGAAAAGATGCTCCCACTTGGTGTCTTGCTTCTGCTGCTCAGAGACAATACCTTGACGGCAGTGGCTGGTAAGTCCGGGTGAGGAGGAGACTCCTCATGCTTCTAGAACCACAAAACCCCACCCCAACATGTTCCTCAGAGCTGTCACTCATCCCCTGTTAGGAACAGGGACAGGAAAAGCAGAAAAAACATGGAAAACCAGTGAAGTGGGGTCTGATTGTTGTTAATTGGAAGTTGGGGGAAAACTTGGCTCTGCAGAAGTGTTAAGTGTTCCTTCCTCACAGATAATTCAACTTCTGTCCTAACCACAGACCATTAGAAAGAGATTGCCCCGGAAATTTCACAACACTGCTCATGAAGCTTCTAGACCGCAACAGAACTCTGCCTATGTGTTAGGTAGAGTCACTCTGGGTTGCAGAATAGACACTGATAAAATGCAATGTTTTTATTTACTCAGTGACGATTAGAGAGGAAAAGAGTAGGTGTAGACAAGGAGTCCTGAGGGCCAGTAACCAGAGAAGCCCGAATTACCCTGCCAGCCCAGCACTGTGGAGGGTGTCTAGAGGACCTCTTCTCCCTGACTTGAAGGAAAGACCAGTTTCATTACCAGGACTTTGCAAAGGTGATCATTAAGCTCCCTCTGGTTGGCACCTGGGTGTTGTATGCCAGGGCGGGGAGGGAAGGCAGCAACTCACTAGGGGCAGGAGGCTAGGACCCCTGGTGGGTCACATAGGCCAGTGCCCCCAGTCCTGGTTGGTGCCAGGAGGAAGCAGGACCTGACCAGGACGTGTGGATGATGAACCCGGCGGGCGGCTTGATTTTTTAGATTCTCTGCTCTAGTCAGCTGCTGACTGACCTGAATACAGCAGCCATCATTGCAACCTTGGGGGCTCCCTCACAGAAGGTGCTGCTGGGATCCCACGCTGCCTTACACACCCCATGGCTCTGAATCCAGGCACCAGGCTCCTGTGTTTCTCTCTTCTGCTGCTCGGAGGTCACACCCAGACCAAGAAGGCTGGTGAGTCCAGGGGAAGAGGGGAATCCTCAGGAACTTAGAATCCCAAAACCTCTCCCTGAATTGTTTCTCAGGGCTGTCAACCCTCTCGGGTTAGGAAAGGGACAGGAAATACAGCAACCACTAGGATAGGCAACAGAGCACAGAAATCTCCCAGCACAGCCAAGAAAGTGTTTCAGTGACAACGGAAGTGCTAAGGAGAGAAAGTGTACATTTTTTGTCTGAGTGTGGGCAGGAGGAGGAGATGCAGAAGGAGAGGAGAGGGGATGGGGGGGAGTGATGATATGAAGGGAACCTCCTTTCTCTGCCAGCCCAGCCCTGTGAAGGGTATCTAGAGGACCCCTTCTCCCCACTGCACCCCTCACTTGAGACTCTCTCTCACAGACCCTCACTCACTTTGCTACAATTTCACCATCATGTTGAAGTCCCCACCTGGGCAGCCATGGTGTGAAGTTCAAGGCCAGGTGGATGGAAGGACTTTCCTTCATTGTGACTGTGGAACCAACAGAGACATAAGCTTGAGTCCCCTAGGGATGAAGATAAACGCCACAAAGGAGTGGGAGCAACAGATTCAGACTCTGAAAGACATGGGGGATGAGCTCAAACAGCTACTGCCTGGCATTGAACTGCAGAAGGACACTCCCAGGGGTAAGTGTGAGAAGCTGGAGATATTCAGCCTGTGGGGGGGAAGGGGCACAAGAGCAGAGGTTGAAGCATTGGGTACTGCTATCTGCTATTGTGTTTGTGTTTCTAAAACTTGTAAGTTGATCCCATTCAAGAGCCCCTGGAGCAAGGGACAGGTTTGGAGGACAAACTAGGTCAGAACATTATAGGGGACCAGAGGAAGTGGGTGTCATATGGAGTTAACAAGTGTTCAGAACTAGAAGGTGATCTCTCTCCATGGGGGGCAGCTCCTCTCCCCCTGCAGGCCAAGATGTGTTGTCAGCAGGAAGCAGGCAGGTGCACTGGAGCATCCTGGCAGTTTGGCTTTGGCGGACAGATGTTCCTCCTCTATGACTCAGAGAATATGAAGTGGACAGAGGTTCATCCTGGAGGCAGACAGATGAGAGAGGAGTGGGAGAAGGACACGGACGCGACCAAGTTCTTCAGGAGAACCTCAGAGGGAGACTGCAATCACTGGCTTAGGACGTTCTGGGGGCACTGGGAGAAGATGCTGGAGCCAGCAGGTAAGTGAGAAGGGAGTGTTAGGGTCCTCGTTTTGTATGTGTGACAGGGTCTATGCCTGTCTGTCCATATGTGTGTGGCTGTGTGTGTATATGGGGAAGGGGGGTGTCTTCCAGATGAAGAGACCCATTCCACAGTGAGTTCTTCTATGGAGGATAATGAACATGCGTATTACCACCCAGCTTCAATTTCTCTCTTACCTGCTGACATCTCTTCTTCACTGTGCACACCTGTGGTCCACTCACCATGAATTTCTAGCTGGACCCAACCATAGGAGCTTCATCAAGATTCCTGAACTTTTCTTCTTATCATTCCTTCTTCCTAGAATCTCTTTCCATTATCCATAGCCTTTGTTCAATTGCTAGAAATCCTTCAAGTCGCTGAAATGTCACCCCTTTGAGGCCTTCCGTTCTTTCATCATTCAGCACTCCCACTTCAGCCACAGCAAGAGTGATTTGTTGACTTGTGAGCCTTCCCTCCCCACACTGAGCCTATGAGCTGGGTCTGTCCCATATCCAGCCAGGGCCTCTCCCAGCACCTGCCACAGACACAGGCTTAGCAAATGTGTGTGCGAGCAGAGGGAAGTGTCGCCTCAGGTTTCTTGACAAGGACTTTCACTCTTCTTGTTCCTTTTCATTTTCAGAACAACCACCCATGACCCCAGGCTCAGCCCAATCCAAGGCCACAGCCATCACACCAAGCCCCTGGATCCTCCTGGTGACCCTCACCTGCTCAATCCTACTTGTCATCCAAGGCTTTCTCCTTTAGAGTGACAGGTGCTGGGGCAGAACTGAGAGGGAAACACAGAATGGGGAGTCTGGTGTGAGGACTAAGCAGTGGTTTATCACAAGGGCCTACCCCTATCCCAGCCACTGAGCCTCCTCACCCTGCATACGAGACATTATGAGCATGACTTCCTATCATTTCTGAGGAACAACTAAGTCCCATGCAGACAAAAATGTCGATAAACCCTCAATGTTAAGGGCACTGGGAAATGGTACAATATCCATACCAACACTAGTTGGGATAACAAAGTCAGGTCTGATGAATATTAGTTTCTTTCTAGGAGGGACACACGCGGTAGGTGGTGTGGAACACAGAAACAAAGGCATAGGACATACTCAATTTGGGCACTCATTAATGTGTTATCTCCAGATGATGAGATCAAGAGGAAAGGGATTCCTCCTCCAGGCTAATTGAGAAGAGGGTTTTAGGCTCTAGAAAATGAAGATGAAAAGTGTTTACAACTCAAGATAAACCCTTGACTTCATGCTGCATTCCATAGGAAAGTAGCTTGGGTTGCAGCATGTAAAGACTGAAATAGGTCAGATTCAAAAGAAGGCTGGGTCTCAGTAGACAACCTGAAGCCAGACTCCACTTTTCTGAGAAAGCTCCGTTCCCATGGTAGGAACAATCTAGACCAAGTTCAATGACATGGGGACTGGGATAGTAAAACTCAGAACTCCACGTCCTACCACTAGGATGAGGGAACCCTGAGAGAGAAGGACAATGAAGGAAGTTGGCCTGCATCCTCACACAGGATTTCCATGAGGGACAGGTAACCCCGCTCTACTCTCTGGATGGGATTTGAACCTGGTCCTGTAGGCCCTGCCATTGAAGGGAAGGACAGCCCCTTAGTGAGGAAGTATGTGGATTGCTCTAGTCATGAGACCCAACTATCTGTTACAGACTCTGTTATGTATAAAAGGAGGGAGATGGCAGGTATAGCTGCAGAACCTAGGGTGGGGAGGGGGGTGAAGGGAGTACATGAGCCTTGGTTGGAGCAGGCTCTGGAATGGAGAGACATCAGGGAGGGAGAGCCAAGGAGAACTGACCTAGGAAGATTTCAGGGAAAAACAAGTTTTTCTTTTCTGAAGGTCAAAGATGCTTCCAAGAAGGCCTGGAACTTACTGTCTACTCAAACCACCCTCCCAACTGGCTTAGCAGCTTCTGCATCACCAGCTGTTTGTCTGCCCTGGAGCCTCCAACAGATGCTGATGATCCCACAGATGCAACGTTCCCTGGCTACCAATCCTACTCTGCTCTCTGTCCTGACCAGGTTGTGCCTTTTGTTCTTTGTGCTACTGAACAAATTTTACACCAGAACCTCTAAGTGCCTGAACAAGCATGTCAACAAAGAGAACATGTTCCATGAGTTTCTTTGTAAACACTCAGGTAGCTGTCTGAAGCAAAGCATGTCCAGGTCCCTGAGAATGGCAGTGACAGTGAAAAAAACTGTGAGCAAATTGTGTTCTCAGCCACTACCGAGCCACCATTGCTCTGTAACACCAGAGCTACAGCTGAAGGAGAAGGGGGGTTAGTGAGGAGGTCTCTATACCATGCCTCTTACAAAGCAGACTGCCCACAAATCAACCAGTGGCAAATCGCCCAGGAGGCAATTGGCTACAAAACTGCTTATCAGCGTGCGCCCTCTCCTGGAGGGATGAAGAAACCTCATCGTCTCAGGCCTGGGACTGTGGAGCTTCCTAAAATTAGATGTCATCACAGAATGTCTGATTCATAAACTCCCCTCTAGCTTCTGGTGCAAGAAATAGCTCAGGACTTCAAAACACATCTGTGCTTCCAGAGTGCAGCTGTTGGTGTTTAGCAAGAGGCAAGTGAGGCCTATCTGGTTGGCCTCAAACTCTGTGTTATCCATGCCAAACGTGTAACAATTATACCAAAAGACATCCAACTAGCAGGTCACATACGTGGAGAACGTGCTTAGGAATGCACTATAATGGGAAACATTTCATTCTTTAAAAAACAAAAATTCTCTTCTTTCTGTTATTGGTAGTTCTGAATATTAATTTTTTTTTTCCCCATAGGGTCAAAAGGTACCTAAGTTTGTGATTGGGAAGGAAAAATAGGGGACAGAAATCAGCTATTGGCAGTTTTTTCATTGTCATTTATGTGAAATTTTAATATAAATGTGGGGGCATAAAGCATTAATGCAAGTAAAAATGTTTCTGTGAACAACTTTCAGCTGTTCAACTTTATAAAAATTATAACTAAACCTGTTAAAATTTTCTGGACAATGCCAGCATTTGGATTTTTTTAAAACAAGTAAATTTCTTATAGCAGCAACTAGATGGTGTTTATAGCATTTTTATCACAGGGTAGATTCCATCCATTCACTATACTTTTCTAACTGAGTTGTCCTACATGCAAGTACATGTTTTTAATGTTGTCTGTCTTCTGTGCTCTTCCTGTAAGTTTGCTATTAAAATGCATTAAACTATTTAAAAAAACAAAACTCACTGTGTGCAACCTCAGAATTCCAGAGAATGTTTCTATATCCAGTGGCACCAACTCCCCTTCTCTTAATTGATTACACTTTTGTTCATCATTATTGACTTGAGCAATTTTTGTTGTTTTATTGGCGAGTTGTTTCCAACTCAAGTGGCCCTGATTAGAATTTCCAAGGAGTGTCTGGTGAACTTGAACTGCCAATCTAGGGTCATTTGGCCAGTGTTATCCTTTATTGTACTGTAATAATTTTCAATAAACATTTATATAGTCTCAAAATCTTGAAGACTTGGAATTGGTGTCTTACAACCCACTGGAAAATCATCGGCGCATCCGTCTCTGCACAGTGCAGGGATGAACACCCCTGATTCTGCAGGTTTCTGATGGACACAAAGAATGAAGCGTCCACCTTAAATTAACTGCCTGGCTGTCCATGTGGAGCACTAGCTTCATACCCTGGATGCCAGCAAGGATTGTAAGCCTCAGATGAGGAGTGATTTCCTGGGCTTGTCCCAGCACCCTCAGTCCCCAGCACTGAATACTCTCCTCAGTCCTCCATCTCACCTCAGCTTCCTCAGGGACAAGGATGTCCTCACAGCAGAGCAATCTCTGTTTTTGAAAGTTGTTTAATTCCCCACACCAATAAAGGATCAATATCTAAATATATACGAAGAATTCCTATTAAAAAAACACAAAATCTCATTCTCTGATGGTTTGGGGCAAAGCAAAGGCCTTAGAAAACTCACAAATGGTCAAGAAACCTAAGAAAAGACTCAGAATCTCAGAAGTCATGAAGATATCTCTACATATGCATCACATTTACAATGATTTAAAACTATTTGAATGCTAAGAACTAGAAACAAATAGACAGGGATTCTATTGCATTATTGGTAAGAATGTAAATTCAATCAGTACTCTGAAGTATGATTTATTCATGTCTATTAAATGGAAGACTGGCTTATTCTACCTCACAGCAATCCAGTGTTAGTTCCACTTTTGTAAATGTGTACCAGAAAATATTTGAATATTTGATTGGTATTGCAAGATTCTTTGTCATATGGAAAAGGAGGCATCAATGTTAATCCAGAGAGTATATTTTTTAAATGATAACAAAAAAATTCTGTGTCAGCTTATTTGACTGGCTACATATGAAACCACCAAAATTCTTCATAAAAAATTTTAAACCTTTTAAATACATTAATAATGACTTCTGTTTCACACACCAATTCAATGACTACAGAAATCTAAATCTCTCCACGTCTTAAAATTAATACAAATCAACAAAGAAGGCAAATTACAACACTCCTAGTCAGCATGACAGGACACTGGAAATCCATCAGACTCTTTGCTCTAAAGGACATTATTGGGACCCTGGGTGACTCTCTAGGATCCGGTCACTGTGAAATCTATTTTGAACACTGTGTCCTGGTTGTAGAGGAAGGGGTCATTCCCTAGGGGTCACAACAGACCAGTCTGCAGCCAACCAAGTGGATGGATTCTCTGGCAATGGCAACAGGACTTCCTGATAGCCTGGTAGCCCCCCAGGTCTATTTACTTTGAGTGCCCTCATTGCCCAGACCACCCTAGACATGGATGTTTCATGTCCAAGACCCATCTCAGATACCTCTGTTCCATTCTGACATCCATTCTGAACATTGTGTATCAGTAAAGTCTGAGATCAGGTGTGGAATTAGCAATATTCTTTATCCAGGGCAGTTTCCATAGCAGATGCTCAGTTAAGGCTTATAGAAAAGATGTGAGGTAGGTATTATTATTTTTCCATGTCCTAGTTAAATACAAGAGAAAATTAAGAAATCTTCATGTTTGTTCATGCTGCTAAGTGAAGTTCTGTGTACACCCTACGACTCTCTGTCCACTACACTTACATAAAGTATGTGCTCAGTTTATGTTTCTGGTCATTGTTAATGGGCTTGTATGCATAATTTCTCCAATTCTCCATTTTAAAAAAAGGGACATGATCAACATCATTAATAATTACAACCCTCCTCAATTTAATTTGTTGTTGTTAACTGCTGTCAAGTCGATTCAGACTCATAGCGACCCTACATAGGATTTCTGAGGAGCAGCTGGTGAACTTACAGCTCAAACTGACCTTGCAGTCCAGCACATTAACCTGTAAAGCCACACCAAGACTCCACATTTTATTAGCCTTGTGTGAAGAGGAAGGGAGGTTCATGAGTCTTCCAAACTTTGTCTCTGCTGTTGCAATCCTCACCAGCAAGGGGAGAAGTTGCCTCGCTGAAGGGAGAAGGAGGGCGGTGTCTTGGCAACTTTGTTCTGCTAACTAGGTTCTCAAGAGTCTTGCTTGGGTTTCCTTGGTGTTTTAGTTTTCAGTGACTCATCGGTACTTATGTGTAAGTACATGTTTTTTCCAGGGCAAAGACTCTCCGGGAAACTCTAGCGGTGAGGCTCCTCATCTCACTACAGGGCGTCTCTCCAGCTGCCTGTTCATCTCACCTGCACTAGCCCACCTTTAACAGGCTCCACTTCTCCTTCCC